GTAGGCGTAAGCTGATAAAATATTTGGAGGAGTGATCAGCTCAGGAGTACTGCCGACAAAAAAAAAAACTCTAGAAAAAACAGGACTGAAAAATGTTTTATGAATTTTTTTTTCTTGCGAATTTCACTTAAAGAATCGTGACAGAGGGGATAAATTGGCTTTTGTTGATTTTTACAGTCGACCATCTCGGATGCAAAATCCTTTAGCCATTTTCCTGGATGAAAAATGAGGAAAAAGTTGTGGGTTTGTGTGGCAAAGGCACGTAAATAGGCTTCACGCAGAGGCATGATTTATGAGAAATAAAAGAGGGATGACCTCCGGAGACGAGGTCGGCAGGTCGTGCTGCGCCACGAAAACGGGCAATCATTTGTTATTAAATGATTACAGTTAAGGCTGCGCATGCAGACTGAGCTCCTTTGCATCTCTCAATGAAATGGTTCAAGTCTATTTTGGAGACACGGAACTTCATGTATCAATGTGCTTTCCAGTGTTATAGTAAACATTATTTGCGATTGGCTTCCATTCGATTCAACTGCATCAAATCGTGGTACTTATTCAGAATTTGACATGGTACTTAGTCAGATTCTACCGCAATGTTGGTAAATCAGGCTGAGTTGGTATTATAAGGATTACTCAAATTAGTGTGTGAAGAAAGGTTTAAATCCATTTTAAACTGTGTGAGTATCAGTTAGATGATTTATGTGTGTAAGTGCATGGTCTGATTTGAAGTTGCTTTTGATAACACCAGGAACCACTAGCATCTGGAATTGAGCTAAAGCGCTGTAGAGGCGATAGACTTGCTATATTTCAGCCCCGCATAATTTGTTTGCGATAAAACTACGAAGACTCTTGAATTTTTTGAAAGGTGTTTGTAAAACCTCAATAAATTATGATGCTGGAAGCAACTCGCCTGAATCACCGAGACCTGGATCACCTATCTCGCTGTAAACATATGCAGAAGCCCTCGAAAACTACGCCTAAAAGTTTCATACAACATCCCTCGCAAGGAAAGTTGGCTGTTGCTTCTGGGAATAAGCGAAGCCGCTTCTTGGTTTTGTTAAGTCTCAGAGAGAAGGGGTGAGGCAAGAGGCTGAAAGCCTGTTTGTTTTGGAGACAGTTTTGTTGGTGCGTCTGAGAAGACCGAGTTTGTGGCCTGGCGGAGTGAGCAGCGGGTTTATGCAAACATACTAATAATTCGCATATTGTATGTAAACACAGTGAGGCCATTCATTCAGTGACTGAGGTTCGTTGCATGCTTTTTGTGTTACCAGTGCTGTTTATTGTGCAGTGAGTGAGTGAGTGACCCGCAGAGGTCATTCTTCCGTCACATTACTACACTCCATCGTCTATTGTTGGACCGTAATTTTGACTGCCACACTGGTCATTTCTGTATATCTGACGCTGCGCCTCCCACATGCTCCCTCTTTTGTGTGAGGATCAAATTCCAAAAAATAACATCACTGAAATCGGGCATGTCTCCTCAAGCACTGAGCACAGCTGATCAAATATCAACAATCAGAATAAGGAAGAAATAAGGTGTTAGGGCGGTGTTCTACATACTGATTGTTTCATTCCAATGATTATTTCCGTTTTCCAACGTAAAATGTAGGTATTCCATTAATAGCATTATCTTTATCATTATCATCATCATTTGTTACCATTTTTATTCTTATTTTTATTATTGTCATTATTATTACTATTATCATTAATCTTACTACTTCACTGTTGGCATTACCATTCTACCGTACTCGTAACTATGCATAGGAGGGATGGATCCACTGAGTTTGAAATCCAAAATATCAATTTCCTACTTTTTGCATGAAAAGACCGTCCAAGTGCACAGACGACATAAGTGCTGACCAACATTAGTTCCAGAAATAAGTAGGTAGAACCTGGCTGCAGTTCAAAAATATACCTAAAATCTATGCAACTTGGTGTGAATGAACAAAAAAATTCAGCCAAAAAATCCAGGAAGTACAAAAACGAACAAAGAGAGAAAGTATCGATCTTCAGTACCAAAGCAAACAAACGCTTTCTTCAACGTTAACAGCTGCATGCGTTGCATGGAAGTATTGGTCTCATTCTGCCCAAAAAGAAATTTTGAACCTCAAAAACCTGCCCTCCTTGACTTGAAGCTTTTGCCTAAAATCGCTGTTGAATCCTTTTACAGACCATCCCTGAGGCTTTTTGTTCTTCGAGGAAAGCAGACATCTGTTCGATTTCTGTTGTTTGGTCAAATGTGTGCGCAATCATCGACATAGCGGAACGAACAAAGTCCCAGAGGGTATAGTTCTTCACCGCTATAAGATGCGGTAAGTGGAAGTGCATTACGCATATTAGCGAAAGGTCAACGGGCGGACAATGTCCAGGAATTATTATGCATCATTTTGTGGGTCCACTCGATGCTTCAAAGCCTCTTTGCGGCATTACCAACTGACCTTTGCAAGAAAAGGTCAAAGCGAACCAACCAACAACAGCGCACAACCCATTCCGATGCTGCAACAACAGTTGCCCCCTGACCTTAGCTCCTACAGCTAATGCTTCTTGGAGATAAACTGGCGCATTACAATGGCCAGTTGTGGATAAGAAATACCAAAACAAACGTGTTTCTTTAGGCTATGGCAGAATAAAGATCTTTTGAAAAATTGATGAGTATACTGATTAAAATAGTAATTGTTACAGTGATAATGACAAGCACATGCATTCCCAAAAAAAAAAAAACGAATTTGACTCTTCATTCGTTCTCGTCGATTCAAAACCTATGCTGCATGACAGCGGTGTTTCCGCAAGCTGAAAAGGCTCGCGGTTAGAAGCAATTCGGAAAACAAGCTGAATTCGGATTAAGTTCGTTTTAAGCTCATGCTTTATCAGTGAGTGGCACTCGCAGAAAATAATCAAAAAATTAAACGACTAATCCACTGCCTTCCGAAAAGGCCGCTAAATACACAAAATAAGCATTGAGTACCAATTGGCGACCCAGCATTTGTCCGACTTCTAGAAGAATCTCAGCAATGCACTTGATACTCAAGTTAGTTGTTCAGGCGATTTTGATATATTAGTGAATGTTATTTTAAATTTATTTCTTGTGTGTTTGAAATATTATTAAAACTTGTAAATTTCATTTGAAAAATTCGTTTAATCAACTAGCGCTTAAACTAATTAACTAATTTACATAGATTAAATTTACATATTTAAAAGAGAGGAGGAAATTTCGGCTTCGTGAATTATTAATAACTTAAATCTGTATCAAATTTCACAGCAATCATGAAGCGAGACTCGCCAAACACTGGCCATTCAAGTACTATGAGTTTTTCGTATAAGTCAAGATTTGCATTCGCACCTTCAGAAGTGTGTAATAAATCATGCGAAAGGCGTAAAGATAGATTTAAATGAAAGAATTTTCAAAGTGTGATAAATCCTAATCATTCTACCAAAATAAACAAATAAACGAAAATCAAAATAATACTTCGCGAACACTTGCCCTGGGATAAACTGGACACATAAATACAGAGAATTGAAGAGACAGAAAAATCTTAAATTTACATAAATACAGAAAAATAATCTTACGTCAGAATATAAATTTGAAGAATGGGTCAGTAGAAATAATTTTTTCAACAGAATTATTGTTGTAATAGCCAGCGAAATGCTACCTCCCGGTGCAATGCCTTTCTTAGCCAATTGATCTAAGCCAATTTAGGTTTTTCTAGACAGTTTATTCCGTTGAATAACTCATTACGCTGTCGATTAGCTCCAGTACAAATAAGTTTGTTCAATTTAGCACAGACTACTTATGCAGATGTAAAAAAAAAAACATATTGTCAAAATGCCACCTGTTTATGTTCAAAGGCGAGTGAAGTTTGTCATCCACTTTTAACTCAGCAGCCAGAAAAGCTGAGAAGATGAAATTATAGGAGCATATTCCCACCCTATTTGTCTTCCTTCGTTTTGAAATAAGCGCTTGTGTGCATTTGGATTTCATGTGAGAAAGGCTAAAAAACACTTATATTTTTGGCTGGAAACAATTTCGGGAGCCGACAAATGCAACGATAACTGTAATTTTATTAGAATATTTGTTGCCCATATGGGAGACCCGCAAATCTTATGGAGTTCTGAATTTTGCTTTTGTGCCGTGGCTTAAAACATGTCAGAGGTATTTATAGCCAAGTGGCTATTTTGAGTAGCGGACAAGCTGCAGTTTGGGAAATTATCCTGTATCTATGTGACATCTAAATTCGGCTCGAAGACATGACAAGTGCTCAATTTTAATCTACTCTTTTAGTTGAATGGTTGGGGATCGTACGAACTGCAGCTTATCAAAGTACTGAAATAATGCACCGATCGTGGAAATTTTGAAACAACGGCAGTCTAAGAAATTTACACAGTTTTTTCTGCCACTCGATTTTGCAGGTGATTTGACCATTGCAGACATGTTACTTTGATTATTATTACTTTTGTTTTTTAACTTGTTACGACTCGAAATCAAGCCGAACTGCTTGGTGAGCAGGTTTAACTTCAGCATTGTAGCAACCAATGCCTTTCCTATTCGGTCACCATCAGCCTGCTTGTAATCACTTCCCGGAAACGGAGGCTGTCGAGCGCATTTGTCTGTTGCAGCGAGTAATTTTGCGAAAAGGTTTTGCTTTTGACACTCCTGCCTAATTTCATACGTTTCTGAATTGCGTGTTGCAGTCTTAGATAATGAACGTTACGGGAGTATTACAGATCGACTTCTTTTCCGAAAAAATGGAATCAACTATCTTAGTGGTGCAAAAATTTCTGAAAATAAGCCGTGCTTTGGTCAGAATTTCCAGCTTTCCAGCAGAAGTTTGCTTGCTTTTAAACTTTTAGAAGTGCCTGATCCAGCCCAAACGTATCTTCGGCGCAAAGATAGTTTTTCAAGGAGCAGAAGTGCAGATAAGCAATCGCGATAACAGGATCGCGATGATGGTGATGATATACGATGTGCCTACTTGCCCGCACCTTGTGCATCTTCGGTCCGATCCCACAACGTTATGCAATTTGCATACGTCTCCTCTGGAGCATGGGCCGTGGCAGTTGGTTGTGTAACAACAGGTTGACCTCAGCTGACCAAGCAAAAAGGCTGGAAGGGT